GGGAAAGAAATTATAGAAATTATACTTTTATTTAGCAAGGATGCTTAAAATTGATCAAAAGTGATGATAAAGGCATTTATAATGTTACAAAAGATTTCTATTTCAGATAAATAGTGTTCATATCGATATCGGAATTATATCGTATCGACCGAAATTAAGAAATATATTGTGATATCAATTTTGGCCATATCGTCCAGCCCTACGTCACGGGTAGTACCAGTTGTGCTGGTTAGACCCTGCTCCGGAGTAGGAGCTAATTTGGTTCTCGAAAAAGGCAGTCTGGTATTAAAATCGCACCCAGTTCCGGCGTTGCGAAAACGCCAAAAAGTGGATAGTTCCACAATTAGTTCTGGTACTATGAAAAGGTTCCCGCGGTGTGAAAAGTTCATGACAATTAAGCACATTTCCTCCACCAAAGACTTACTACTGTAAATGGCCCAGATGTTTTGCCATTAAGATGTTTTAACCTTCATTTCCAGTAGTGGTTGTCATCAGATTATTTATTATTGTATTTATTTATTTTATATATTTTTTTGCTGTATTACTTTGAAAAAACAAAACCCTAGTATTATGATAATTTATTTTATTTATTTGTAATGTTTTTTTTTTTTTACATTTATATTTATTTTTTACCGTATTGCGTTGAAAAATACTGTAGTATTATGATTTGTATTTAGTTTCAGCATAAATTAAAGATGGTACAAATGTGTTATGTAAATACTTTACTATTTAAATAATATATCAGTCTTTTTACTCATTACAGTAATGATAAGTAGATTTATTTGGTGTAATGTTAATGGTAAAATTAGGGGAAGGAATGTCTCAATGCAAAATATCTTAATAGCCCTAATAATAGGCTTAATTTTCTTTTTTCAAAATATAATTTCACTTTTTTTTTTCTTTTGATTTTGAAGTGAAATATAACCGCAATGTGCTCTTGGCTTGATTTTGTAGTGTTGGGTGGGTTATGTTCAGATTGCCATACTATTAAGCCAAGATGATATCAGCAGATGTTTTTGCATCTGTGCTGGTTTCTGTGGTATCCCTCAATGCAGTGCGCTTAACTTGACCTGCCATTTCCAAAGGGGTGGATGAAACGGAAACATTATCAACCACAATTTTTTGTCACAAAATTGGATTAACAATGGAATATAACCATGTATTTTTTTTTTTTAATTTCTGAGATTATAAATTGGCCACAATTTGTTAAATTAAACGTGCAACAAAATGTAGCATACTAGTTTGCAATGTCGGTATTGGTACATACGGCATGCTATTTAAAAATAAAAGAAGGAATTATAACACACAGTATGCTAATATTCCATTCTGAACATAACCGAAGTGTGTCGTGAGATTCTGAGGGTGCTTGAAGGGTTTCTGATTCAGGGTGTGCATTCACAGCTGCATAGCCTCATGGGATCGCCAGGATCGTCCATCTTTGCCTGGAATTTCAGGAGCTCCCAGAGGAATGAACAGCACTGCAGCTTCTGAGGCGA